CAATCAAAATCAAGAATCTATTCGTAGATCATTCTAGAATGCGATTTCCTAATTTGGTATATTCCCAGACTGAAATATCACAGAAAAAACTTCACATGATCATATTAACTATCGGATAACATCATTACGTACGACAAATAACAGTCAATTTTTTTTTCAACAGAGTTAATTTCACTCATGTGCTGCATAGCAGCACATGAAGTGACATTAACTCCGGCAAAAAAAAAATTGCCTGTTATTTTTTGTTGCTGTCCAAAAATGTACACTTATTCAACAAATTTTGCCCAATATTGTATACATAAATTAATAAATAGATAATGGATGGGAACACTACATTACATATGTATAATATTTATGTTTGTTGTTTTTTAATAGTAATTTCTAAATTAAAAAGTATATACAATTCTAATTTTATACAAAGGCTAATAAAAAAAAAAGTTTTTTTTTTAGAAAAACATCATATATTCCAAAAAGGCAAAATTATATAGTAAGACTTCCCAAAATTTACTATGATTGATCATTGGTTCTCAAGCGAATCACGAATTAAGTTTTTATATGTGTTCGAAAATTTTATCGGGCGTTACTTTCAGAGGCGACTGTACTCCATTGATCAAGTGGTTTCACGTTAACTTCCAAGTTATGTTCTTATTTCCAACTCTAAACAAAGTCCTTGCACTGCTATACAGCCTTGGTATCATTACTTGGCGTTCATCTATTTACAGCCATTTGTTGGGGTAGTATTATACCATTCGATACAAATTTAATAAATAAGGAATATCTTATGCTAATATTAGCTTACGTCATATATAGTCAACAAGAATGTATTCATATCAGATATGATATCAGCTGAACACATTCAATGAGACATATCCCTGCATATATTTCTACGAAATAAAATTTGACAAAGTTTCATTGATCGAGAATAATGACGTACTGTACGTATGCACTGATCAAGAATCGGGGATCAACCAAAACATTTTATACGCAGCGTAAGTGGGCGAGATTGTTGACTGCAATTGATTTACATGCGATCCAATAGAAGGTTGATAGATCCAACTGGTATCAATCTATTCAGAAAAGATTATAATTATGTTAAAGTGTTGTATGATGATGTAGTAGTTTGTTAAAGCAAACCATTACCCATTCAACTCTAAGCTTTCCAAAAATCCGTGCAATTTTGAAAAACTGTTCTTCACCTAATCCACGTTGTTTATAGATCCCCAAAACCCGGGTCTCACGTTTCATATCGTTTTCCGATTTCACTTCTGTTTCAGAACTAGCTTCCTGATCGTCTATTGGTTTTGAATGACTAAAATAACGAATAGTTTTGACCAAATCTTTGTGTAAATCTGGTAAATATAATATTTCTGATGCTAGAACTATGTCAAATGGTTGAATATTTGATTTGTGAAGTGGGTTTGTAGTATCTTCAGTGGTTGGTAGTGATCTCCTATTTAGGTATAAAAATTATATATTAATAATGACAAAAATAGTTCGAATATCGTAAGAATTCAAGACATACCAATCTAGAACGTGAACTTGTATATCATTTTTATCTAATAAATCTAAACCACCTTTACCTCTGTCGTACTCAAATTGATTTTGTTGCTGGCTCATAACATATTCAACATTCTGTTTAATATTGAATTTTGTGTGCTCGATATCATTGAGTGTACCTGTACAAACTACATACCCACCTATCATATATATATATATATAAAATTAACGTGTTGTGAAAAAGAAACAAGATACAAAGAGAAGACATGATACCAGTGAGCCAAGCAACTAATCCAACAAGACCACATCCTGATCCTAGTTCTATAAATCTGATTTTTCTTCGACGGTTAGTGTCGGCTAAATAATCAAGATTTAGATGGTCTACTATATATTTACTTAATATATACGCCTTTAAATAAAATGGAAGATGTATAATAAGGACGATCACGAAGAAACCTGAGTGTAAACAAGAAATTGATGAGCGAGAATTAAACAGTATAATAATCACCCCATCCCAAACTATATTCCCAGTATTTTGCGTAATATCAATTGGATCAGATAATCTTTGAGATATCTTGACTTTTAAAATCCCATTAGCATTCCATATTATAGAAAAAAGAATAATTGCAAGTTTATTAGTAACATTGATAATTTAAACGTTCATGAAATGCAAAGATTTTGATTATGTACGAGTAAACCCATTAAAAGCAAAAATTCTTTCGGGATCCCGCTTATAATTTGAGAATGGATTATTATATTTCCATAATACCAATGCTCCATCTTGACTATTATCTTTATCGTCTTGTTTAGTATTAATCGTTTCCATATTGAGCGTACGGAAAATTTATCGTTATCATGGAGATTTCATTATTTAATGAATTAGTTTTAGTTATTCTAGTTTTATAGCTGTAGATTGATCATCCTTACCATATTCGTTTTAACGTACGTACGTACGTACATCAATTTTTGATTTGATTACGTACAATTACTAAATTTATTAAATTTATTAATTTATTAAGCATCGTGACATTTAAGGATTAGGTAACAATTCATTTAAAAAGTTTAATAATATTATATATAGAAGAAATTTTACAAAAATTAAATCGATTTTTATTTTATTTAGCAATCAACAACAATATGTTTATATGGCACCAATTCAGCATATCCTTCCAAATCTTGTTTAAGATTATTCCAAACAGTACTAGATATATGATATCCACTAACATATCTAAAGCCATATACATACTTGAATACATTCACGTAATTTAATGTCCTTTTTCGTGCACAAAATCCTATTAACGCCTTGATAGTTTTCTCATAATCACAATCAATACTGAATAATAGTTTTTTTAAAGGTACATCACAATGATCGAGTAAAATGTCTATGTACGAATTAGACCTAACGTTCCCCCAATCAAGATATACCAATGTTAATGGCAATATTTTAGCCAATTGTATAACATGAGCCTTTGCTATTTCTTCAGAACCATCATCTATCCACAATAGGGTGAGGAATTGAAGCTTGTGTAAGTTGTTAATAAGCTTTATAAGTTGAGTTGAAAGTTCAATATATGAAATGTAAAGATACGTAAGATTTGGACAGGAAGCCATAAGTGTTTCTATTAATAATGACTGAGAACAAATTTCTTGATCCTCCGAGTCAAGTTTTAATCGTTGTAATAATGAGCCGGACTTTTTCAAGATTTGTATTATAACCGAGGCATCAATCGGGTATGAGCTTATGTCTAAAGTACTGATTTTACAAAAATCAGTATTTAGTATTTTCAATAGCTTCTCCTCCTCTTCACAATATAATATACGAAATATCTCTAATTTTTCACAATTCATAAGTACTTCAAATTCAGTACTATAAGCACAATTATGTATACTAATTTCTCGTAAAGATTCTCTCTGACTTTTTAGAGCAGAAACAACACCATGCAATTCCGTTTGTAATCCTTCTTCACAGCTCAAGCTGAAACGTTTAAGACGTTCTTGTGACTTAATTATGTTCACCAATGCAGTGCATAATCGTGGTCTACACATATAATCAAACGAATCGAATCTCAAAGTTCTAATTTTTGTAGCTTTTTTTGCCAAAATCTTTAATAAGGTAATATCTTCATCGATGACGTATAAATCCGAACCGGATTCTTCTGTTGATATAACTATATCTTGGAGTCTTGAAAAAAATTGCAAATTTTGACCTAAAGAGTAAAATACTTCAGGTTTAATATTGAATTTAGAAACATAGAATTCTAACTTTGATAAATTTGCACCGCTCTCAACAAATGATTTAAATAGTAAATTAACTATGTCTTCTTTCAGTATATCGACATTTCTTTGTGGATTTGAAAATTGTAAACTAATCCATTGTTTAACCTTTTCCTCTAGACTAAATAAATCGAGAATCTTTAAAAAACTAGCGTAATGAAACAGGGTATTAGGAAAATCGTTGATTATTCCATATTCTTTTAAAATAAATGTTTCTTCTTCGTCAAGGGACGAAAAGTAATTAGATATGAAGGTAAATTTTTCATCAAACGAAAATGGATCTCGCCAAAGAATAGGAATTGATATCTTGCACCAATGTCGACTCACTAGAGCACATGAATATAAGGAACAAATTTCTTTATTCAAATTGTTGAGAATGTTTTCCATCAATTCGGGCATATCGCCCGTAAATATTTTTGATGCCATGAGAAAAGATTAGTGGCTTTTGATTTTTTACTCCAAATATTTGAAGTATTTATACGTATTTACGTTCGTACGACGTACATACGTACGTACGTACGTACAACGTTAATTGTATTACGTTACGCATATATAGGGACCGGGTTGTATGAGCCCGAAACTAGACCCGAAAAAAATTTGCAAGCCCGAATCCCGTAAGTATGGGCCGGGTCGGGCTTTAATTTTAAACTAGGCCTAAGCCAAGAACTACACTGAAAAAATGATTTCCTTTTTAAAAAATATAAATGCTTTATGCTTATTCATTTTAACCACAGTTCCCAAGTAATAAGTTAACCTTTTCGACTTGATATATTCCGTCAGGATTGTCTAGTCTGCAAATTTTTGTAATGCACTGTCTACCGTTTATAATTAATTTTTAGTTTTTGTTTCTTTAATAAATGTTACTGAAAGCGTTGCATACCAAAGTATTTTTAACGATGGTGCTACAATTCATAACATTACGGACTATAACAGCATTGGTGTCTCGAATCTAGATTTCAATTTGAAATTCAATCTATCAAGAATGCCATTATTATCGCTCAATCAGATGACAAATGGCTTTATTAAAACAATAAAAACATATGGGAATCTATTTACCATCGTTAAAGGCTCTACCTCCTATAACTAAAACATTACACCTCTAAAAAACAATGCTAACCGACTATCAAGCCACTCTTAACGTATTGAAACTACTACACCTATAAAAAACCCCAATTATAATCTCTAACCAAACTACAATGTCTAAGCATATGGGAACAGGTCATTGAGGAGAGATCCATGTAGCTTCAAAGAGAATTGATTATGTAGCCATTTACGAAATGATAAAAATGCTGCGAAGTTCAACAAAGGGTTCTTGCACTGCTGTTGCAGCTGCAAAGTCCAAAACCATTTTACGAAGGTCATTGCATTCGTGGAGCCTAACTGCCACTAAGCAAGGTCCTTATCCTTACATTACTACTTCAGCCGCGAAGCTTGACGTTGCTTACCATTGTCATTTAACTT